ATCACTCACATACTGACTTGAGCGTCGGAGGCTCTACGCCGGAAACACCTCCGGCGTTGAGTTTTTGCAGGTATTCTCGCGGTCTAGCAACGGTTTTGAAGCGGTTCAAGCAGATCTGAGCTCACAACCACCGGTTTACTTCGGATCTGGGAGTAGACTCATCAAGGATGTACAGGGTTGAGCATGCATCGGACGCTGCAGTAGATCACTGGGATCAGTTCCCGGTATTGCATTCTGTACGCTTGTCTGATTGTACTCCCACCACCGCAGATGATCTAGGGGCGGCCCATGAGGACTACCAGCGATGGTATGAGCGATATTCTCATCCTAGACTCTTGCCCGACAGTCAGGCGAACAATGAGTCTGTCCCTGCATGCGCCAACACAGATTACGTAAGTCATTTACTAAATTTAGTTAGTATTCGTTCATTACAATTATTTTTTATATTTTAATTATGTGTATACATTTTCCTTGTGCTTTGTGTAGTGGGTCGGACGGTCCATGTCCCTTTCATCAGATATGCATCAAGAGATCGCGACACTTGCTCCTGATAGGGCGGCAATTTATGCAGAAAAACTGGCTCAGTTGAGGTTGGATTTCGACAGAGCGCAGTAGTGATGTAATAATTACTTTTTTTTATATATATATTGTTTTGGATGTTGTCAGAAACCACCCGAATTGTTTTTTATTTTTTTATTTGTGGTTAGTTAATTTTATTTTCATCTAAACAAAAAATTCTCCCATTATATCACGTGAAACGGTAGACACGGCGAGATATCACAATCTATCACTTGTAACGCATGAAAATAAAATTTAAAAAAAAAACCGCAGACATAAGTCGAATATCACAATATATCAAATTCCAGCTGCAGTACGAATATCATTCCACAACTGGAACCTGCTCTGGTACTGATACGGCCAATCTCGAACCGAAACATCTCGGTATTTATCCCAAAAAAAACACAAAGGCGGTAATGGAGAATCAGAACACAGATTGATACGAATGAAGTGCGAGTAGGAACCAAGATGACCTATGACGATCTCACAGTCAGGTCGTGTAGCCATGGATGGTGCGCGGATCGAGAATACCGTCATACTAGCCATGTCCATATTGTTATCGTTGGGACCATAGCTTAACAACACGACAACTGCATTGAACAGTGTAGCAATAGCAAAGAGGTCGCCCGTAGCATTCATCCAATGCTCCTCGCCACAAGGACCCCCGTCCCATCTTATACGATCGATTGCGACGTCGACCCCATCCCAATAAAATGGAGCGTACAAATGAATGTTGGCTGCAACCTCATTTGCAATAGTTCTTGCCACATCCCACTTCTGCTGATCCCTATAAATGTAACTCGCAACCACCCGAAATTCGCATTTTCCGTCCGGCGTCACATCCAGATAACTCTGTACGTAGCTGTGAACTACGTAGGGAATCCTACCACGATGTCGGTACTGAAAAAAATCCGTCTCGAATGTATCTGTAATATCAGAATAATTTCACGTCATAATTTAGGTAATTGAATTTACAAACATAATTAGTCATCGTTCAGATAAAAAATAAAATAAAATTACCTGTCGGATCTTGAGACGATGAGCTTGTCGGGGCACACGAAGAAGTGCTTATACGACCCACCGGACGACCTCTTTCCCTGTAGTCCCACATCGACGGAGCACAAGAAGAAGTGCTCTTACGCCCCGGCCGACGACCTGTTTCCGTGTACCCCGATTGCGATGGAGCACACGAAGAAGTGCTTTTACGCCCCGCCGTACGGCCTCTTTCATTGTACTCCCATCTCGATAGATCGCGTTTTGTTGAATTTTTCTTCTTGGGCCGACCTCTCGGATTTTCCTTCACTGCAGGTTCTGTGTATCCCTGTTGATCAGGGTGAAGCTGAGAGTCGATGAGATGGGTCAAGTACCGTACAGTCGCAGGATCGGCCGCTTCAACCTCCTCGGCAAGCCTCCGAAAATAATCATGATCAGTCCATCCACTCGCCGATGCACTCTGCTGACCTGTCCGTACCGAAAATTTAAAGAATTATACAATATGCTCTATCAAAATTTCTATAAATTAAAGAAAATTTAGGAGAAAAAAAATGTTGAGCATGATGTTCTATAGATTTATTAATCTCGCAATTATACCTGGCTGCGTCACCTCTAGTGTGCTCCAGAAGATGTGGATGTCGTCGGTCGTAATATTTCTACGTACAGTGTGTGCCTCCCTTAGCTCACAGGCACAAGGAAGTCCATGAGTGTATTTTAGTGCACAATCGCAGCGCTCCGAAACATCTTTGCCGAAGTCTCGCATCTTCTGAAGCTCATCATTCAATATATCCATACAGTAATGCGAGACCCGCAGTGTCAACTGCTCGAAAGGGAATCCCCTGTAGCCCGTACTCATCCTAAGTCTCGAAGACTCCAGCGTCTCCCTGGTAATACATTACATAACATAACATTCGACCCAATTAAAATTTATAATTGATGCATTAATAACACAGTCTTACAGTATAAATTAAAAAATTTACCTGACTTTAGTCAGTTGAGAATCAATCTCTTTGTCAATCTTCTCCCAAACCGTGTCGAGCGAACCAGTCGACGTGTTAAGCCACTGCTTCAACGTAGCGTGGGAACTCTCCACCCTACACGACGTTGTGTTGCCAAAATGTAAGACAGTGTCCGTCCACACTTTGACAAACTTTTCCTTGTGCACTAGCCATGTCTGATCCACATATTCCAGCACACGAGAAAACGCCGCGTATGTAACAGCCAAATCAGTTACGGCAGTTTTGTATTTGTCCCACGTGTTCGCCTCGACAACCTTCTTCCACTTGCCGTGCGTGAACTTCTGCGCGAAGATCTTATTTTTAGTTGTGGTTGTCGACGTTAATCGATAGACCCTGTCTTCCACATCCTTGTTGATGTGCCACGTGCAGAGTAAGTGGGGCGTCGTCGGAAAATTCCTCTGAATAGGAGTGATCAACCCCAGCTCTCTGTCACTGACAATGACTGTAGGATGTACATCAGGCCCTATCAGAAGTCTCAACCGCTGTAGGACCCAGTCATAGCTGTACTCGGTCTCGTCCTTGATAATTGCATAAGCAATTAAGAAATTCTTGTTGCACGGCGTCATTCCAACCATCTCAACCAACGGCATGTGGTACCTGTGCAAATGAAAGCAGCAAGAAGAAAAAACATAGAATCAAAAAACTTACTCAAACATACTATTTTAAGATTCACATTATATTACTATTTATAACGTAATGTAACATACCTGTTGGTTTTGTACGTGGAATCTATACCAACATACCAGTAATATGTCCGGAATAGACTGGCTGCTCCTGGATGTGACATGATCACACGTGTCAACTCCTGTGTGTCCGGGTCAACATCTGTGTAAACTATGTAGTTGCTGCCCCTAGCCAAATGCAGAAGCTGGCCAACAATATCTCTACCCTCCAGACGGTCTTTTCGCAATTGACCTCTATAGTTATACACTTGTCGGCAAGTAGCGTTGTCCACTGGGTTTTTCTCCTGAATTG